TCAGTGTTTATATTTGCATTTGGTAAAATTATAATGAATTATTTTCTTTGAACATAGGTGAATATTTTTTTTTAGTAGAAATGACGTTTATTCAATGAATTTAGCATTTTCATACTTGTACATTTTTCTAAGTAAATAATGTTTCACATATATCTATACACAAATATAATCGATTTCAAANAGTTTCTTTTTATTTGTGGCGGTGGGTTTCAATAAACTAGATACAACAGAACATATTGGTATGACAATCAAAGTTTCAACTTTTATACAGACTCGAAACCATCGCTGTTATGTTAATGAAGTTTTGTAATTTAACAGTATTTATATACACAAAATTATATTAATTCTGAAGATTAAGATATTAAACATGTTAATCGCAATATATTTAATTGAATCAAAGATAATATTCTGTATTAAATTAGCATAATCAGAAATTCTACTTGTTGAGTCCACATGATATGACTCTCTTATATGTGGCGTTATTAAAAAAATATTCATTATACTTCTAATTATTAATATTTATATCATTAAATAATAATATTATTTTTAATTACAAACACAAATTAAAATGAACTCAACATTTCTTTTTTAAATAATACGTAAAAGAAGTGCGTGCTTTACACGGTCTGTAGTATGAAGTAGTAACTTTTTACATGTAATTTTTATGTCCATTAGAAGGATAAGAACCAATGCTCGTGCGATTTTAGCAATTTTTCATATGTAGAAATAGACATTTTTCAGATTTGTATAACATAACAAATTACTCCACTCATTATGTAATAGAATACACGGTTTTCAAGACAGTTATGTAATTGGCAGACTATTATAACATAACAATATGTGCACAAATATTGGAAGTCTTGACTGTCTCGAGTCATTGTGATATTAGTTTAAGAATATTAAATATATAATGATATAAATATTAATAATTAGAAGTATAATGAATATTTTTTTAATAACGCCACATATAAGAGAGTCATATCATGTGGACTCAACAAGTAGAATTTCTGATTATGCTAATTTAATACAGAATATTATCTTTGATTCAATTAAATATATTGCGATTAACATGTTTAATATCTTAATCTTCAGAATTAATATAATTTTGTGTATATAAATACTGTTAAATTACAAAACTTCATTAACATAACAGCGATGGTTTCGAGTCTGTATAAAAGTTGAAACTTTGATTGTCATACCAATATGTTCTGTTGTATCTAGTTTATTGAAACCCACCGCCACAAATAAAAAGAAACTTATTAAATTGTTTCATATATACAAGTTTTATTTTGACTCCTATATCACTATCCCTAAGCAAACAAATTTGTAAACAATACAAAGTAAGCATCCATTAGAAATTAAATTTAAAATGGTACTGTGTTATTTCACACTAAGTACATAGATGGCGTTTTTTCATTAGCTACCATTTTGACGTGTTATTGTGCTCATGGACCTAAGAATATATATATAGACCATGGTGTAAGAAGAAAGGTGGTTTGACTACCCCCCCCCCCCCCGCCCAGCCCGCATGTTTAGATAAATTGTGCAATCTGCACAATTGGTGAGTTTGTTTGATTATTTTTGCGTGTTCCGAGTGATTCAGAGTCAAACCGAATACAGCCGAAGTGCGTGTAGTCCCCCTTGCGGCGAATTTCTCATTTCTCCCTGATCCAAAGTTATGGATAGCACAAACCTTGAGTTTCAAGACTCAAGACTTGAGAAGCACTTCGAAAAATTTTTACAATCAGAGTCCTCTTGCCGTCTGTGTTATGTATTACTATATCCATGTCAATAGTTGTTCTATGCGAATGAAACAATCTGATTATAAAATTTATTTGATTATAAATAAAGTTTATAAAAATAATATTTAAAGCAGTTTTAATAATATTTTATGATTGCTCCAAGTATAATAACTAGAACGTGTACTTTTTATAATGTAGGTACAAGAATAAAAGAATTTAAAATGTTGGCTACACTGATGGCTTTTCTCAATACCTTCCGGTAAGAGGTCGCACATCTTTCACGTTCATGGACCCTTTTCCGGTAGGGTGACAAAATGACTGGCTTCAGTAATAAGGTATGTAGACTCAGTTTTATTATTTTAACTTGTACAGGGTCGCTAATATGTTAAAAATATGATTGTTATAAGGAATACAGTACACAAAATATGTTAATAAATATTTTATATATGTATTTAACGTATATTTCTTAAAAAGTTCTGTAGTCATTGTTTCATTTGTGTTCACATACACGTGTTTTCCTATCAATGTCTCTTGTATTTTGAAACGTAATAATATATGTCGTATAATGTTTCATTCTGTTTTAATGTTATAGCAATATGCTTTGTGTTATATACTTATTAAATAGTAATTTCTTTTAAAATACTTCTTATATTTGACACGTGTTAACTATTGACAGTATTAGGCACGGTCGCATGTGCATAATTCAAGTCTTTTACTACCGAACAAATTCTACAGATCTCTTTACAGTATCGTAATTTTCTTGAATTGATTATTAATATAATATTTTAATTTCTATAATTATATATTTTCAGCCAATACTAATCGATGGCCGTGGCCATTTACTTGGTCGTTTGGCAGCAATTATTGCCAAAACGATCTTACAAGGCAACAAAGTAATTGTTGTGCGCAGTGAACAACTTAATATCTCTGGTAACTTTTTCAGGTTTGTAAAGATTTTGCTCTTTTACATAAACTTTGTAATCTGCTTGCATAGTGATAACTACAAAAATATTGCTTTTTTATTAATCTTTTCATCTACAGATATATGGTGGTTAATTTTACGCGTTATTTTTGTTATAGAAACAAATTGAAGTTTATGTCATTCTTGCGCAAAAGGTGTAATGTAAACCCAGCCCGTGGACCTTTCCATTTTCGTGCACCTAGCAAAATACTATGGAAGACAGTTCGTGGTATGTTCAAATGTTAATTTGTTTTGTTAATTGTATAATTTGTAATTTAAACTGATCAATGATTATTTTACATCTTACCTACATTATTTGATAATATAATGAAACGAATACTATTTATGAGATTATTTTGCATTGAATATTACACAGCTCTTTAATAAGAATGAAAAAATTAAGAAAAAATTTTGATACATAGGGATGATTCCACACAAAACACAAAGAGGAAAGGATGCTCTTAGAAGGTTGAAGGTTTATGAAGGATGCCCACCACCATATGACCGTAGAAAACGTGTTGTTGTTCCAGGTGCAATGAGAGTTATGTGTCTTAAACCTGGTAGGAAGGTAAGATCGAACACTTCTAAAATATCCTTCAATTATTATAAAATACACATAATATATTCAAAAAGTATTTGTTTACAATGATGGTATGGTAATTTGCGCCTGAACATTATTTACTTCATAATTTATGATGTCACCTTTTGCTGAGTAAATAGTATATAAATAATTGTTTGAATTGATTCAAGAAAATATATTGTGCTAATACTATTGTCTTCCTTTTTAGTACTGTCACGTAGGTAGATTGTCTCATGAAGTTGGATGGAAATACAAGGCTGTGGTACGCACTCTGGAGAATAAGAGACGTGTCAGATCAATTCTTGAAGTTCAAAAGAGAGACAAACTCAAGGTAAATTTGAAAAATCAGAGCGGAAACATTTTACAGAATTAGTCTTGTACTACGTAGATTATTTGTTTCAGAAACTCACTAAACAAGCTGGGCAGACCGTTGCTAAAGTTACAGCACCATACACAGCCATTATTAATAATTTTGGATACAATTAATATAAAAATTGTAAAAATAATAAACTTCCATAAACATTTTACTTTGATTCATTATTATACCTTGTATAATTTAGGAGCTGCACTACAGTATTGTAGTTTTANTTGTGATCAATTTTTAATATTTCGCTAAATCAACTGATGTTAATGTCCGTTCAAAATGATCTTGTATTATTTTGTTCACAAGCATGTAAGAATTTTTAATAAATATAATTCAAACTACTTCAATGAT